ATGGCCAGAAGCCTGGAGAGGAAAGCACATTCAACGCCATTCGGTTGGCCATCATCTTTGAATGCACACAGCTGCTTGCTTCCTCCAAATTCCAAACTCACTGCCATGAAGTCGATTCCCGCTGAGAGCAACCCTGTCAGGCAGGGTGGAACTTCCCCGGTGGAACTTTCTGAAACTGTAACTGGAAATTCCAATTGCTGACCTTGTGGCTAGCCGCCCAAGGCATTAACGCAACATGCCAATAGGGCTCCGCCCAGGAGGCTTAGGGATGAACAATACACGAGCATGGCTAATGCAGCGTCTGGCTCAGGGCATAGAGTCAAACACCATTTCCGTTGTCCTCTTAGTCCCAGCATACTTTTAAAAGCCCAGCACGGTTCATTATATTTCATTCCTGTTGCATTTTCTTTTATTCTACCGAGGTGGTACCTAATAATTCCCTGCCGGGCAAATACCAGAACTAAGACCTGCATCCAGTCCGTTCCGACTCATAGTAACCTTGTCGGTTCAGAGAGCTGGACTCCGTGGACTTTCCTTGGCTGGCACGTCCAGGTAAGCAGATTGTCAGGCCTTTGTTCCTTGGTACCATTGAGTGAGTTCAAACCACCAGCTTTTCGCCCAGTCATCAAGACACACTGTTGGTGGCCACTTGGAAATCTCTTCATCAATAAACAAACAAATGTAAGTTGCCCGATGGAGCTGCTTCTAACTCATAGTGACTCTCTGTAGGACAGAGTCGTTCTACTCCAGAGGGGCGCTAAGGCTGTCATCCTGAAGGAGCCTGGTAGATCCAAACCCCTGCTCTTTATGTTAGCAGCTGAGTGCTTAACTGCTGGGTTACAAGGACTCCTTAGGGACCTCTCAGGGGCTCAAAAAAAAAAAAAAAAAAAAAGGAGTAATTAAAGTCTTGGAATTGACCTCTGATCTCACTGTTGCAAGCACAGGCCTGCAGAATTCTGGGCTCTTCTGCCCACCACACACACAGACACACACACACACCCTGCCTGCTGCTGAGTAGCAAGTCTCCCAGAGTAGGAAAGCGAGACGCCCTGGGCACCGAGGCACTGTGTCATTTTGTTTGCTAAGCCAGCACAATTTCAGGCTTTGAGCTGATAACCACAGAGTGTTAACCAAATGGCAGCCCTATCTGGTGCCGGGAGGGAGGGTCCCTGCCTGGGACCCTGCAGTGCAGCCAATATTCCACACAGAGCAGCCGGCCTCGGGCTAAGCTGCTCCCAGGCTGCCCTCAGGCCTGGGCTCCTGTTGGGCCGGATGCAGCCACAGCAAGGGCCTCGCTCCTCCTGGCCTGTCCAAGTTTCTGTCTCTGTATATAGAATTAGCATGTCTAGAAGTGCCCGGCTGCTCATTTGACCTCTGAGTCACTGCATATGAGGTCCCATCAGGGTGGCATGCACTCACTGCAGGACCTCTGAACCTGCATGTGGTGGAGATGCTGAAACCAGGACTGGGTCTAGCACAATGTCCTGGTCCTCCTCTCACCGTCCAGAGATTGAACTGTGTGATACACAGCACTAGCACCCTGACTCCATGCCCACAGTACACCTGTTCACATCCCACACACCCCCCCTCCCCACCCCCCCTTTGTCGTGACTCTCCAGCCCCAAATGAAGCATGACTAAGGGTACTTCGACTCTGATCATGAAGAACCCTGATGGTGTTGTCAGGTAGGCATTGGCCCATTAACCGCAGTCGTTGGGTCAAACCTACCAGTCATTCCTCGGGAGAAAGTTGAGGCTGAGTGTTCCAGTAAAGAAGACAGGCCCAGGAATCCTATAGACGGTTACTGTGAGTTAGAATCAACCCCATGGCAGCGGCTTTATTTATTTACTTGGTTTGTTGTTGTTGTTATGTGCTGTTGAGTTAGTTCAGGCCCATAGCGACGTGGCACAACAGAAGGAAACTCTGCTCAGTCCTGAGGCCTCCTCACAAGGGTTGCTATCGTGAGCCCATTGGGCAGCCACAGTGTCAATCCATCTCCTTGAGGACCTTCCCCGGTTTGGTTCCTTGATCACTGCACCACCCCTCCAGCAACTGTGTCAGTCCCAGTAGGTAATCAGGTCCTCGTGCCTGCGGTTGCCTACTGTCTTTCCTGCCCACCACCTCGTGTCCCAACAGTGGATGCTACCTCCCTATCAACCTACGGGCATGAATAGTTGTTTTGCAAAATGCATCCTCTTGAGAGCCTGAGAATTCTAATTGGATTTCTGCTCAGTGATCAAACCTGGGCAGCCTTACAAACTTGCCCTGACCCTTGTGAGCCTCTCCTTTCTCAGCGACTGAAAGGGCATGAAGGAAGGTGGGCGCGGTGACAGCTGCAGAGAGCATAATGCTGCAGTTTGAAGAGTCTCATGTCGACAGGACCAAACCTCTGGTATCTCAATACCATTGATGCAATTCTGACTCACAATGATGCTACAGGGCAGCGGGGGAACTGTCCCTGTGAGTTTCCAAGACTGTAACTCTTTATGGGAGTTGAAAGTCTCATCTTTCTCCCAACTGGTGGTTTCAAACTGCTGACCTTTCGGTTAGCAGCCTAATTCGTAACCACCACACCATCAGGACCCCTGTGATCCAGATGATTCCAAATCAGAGCCAACTGTAGGATGGAACACCGTGCTCCATTGGGTGTTCCAGGCTGTCAATCTTTATGGAGTCACACCACCACGTCTTTCTCCTGGGGGGCAGCTGATGCAGTCACACGGCTGCCCTACTGATCGGCAGCACAACCCTCAACCCACTGTACCGAGCTCCTAGGCCACCAGGAGGCCTGTTGTATCTATTTCTGCCATACCCCTTGGGCACTGACAGTAAGATTCTGAAAAGGAGGGCCTACTGATGTAGCAGGGGCACAACTTGCTGTGCGGCGTGGGTCAGGCAAAGCGCAGGTTGGGCTGAAGGTACCCAAACATCACCAAGGTGACTCGCTTCCCTGATGGCACTACTGAGAAAAGCCCAAGCTCCTGGCCTCTTCCCTCCAGCGTGAGCACACTTAAGGCAAGAGAAACAGTCTCCAAATTCAGGTCTTCCCTTTCGAAGTTCACAGTGCGTTGGGTAGAAAAAGATCAAATAAAATAACCTGAGCTTTGGCTCTACGGAAATTGGGAGTCAACTCCTAGCAAGCCCGGGACCTTGATCTTGAATGTGACCTTGGGTGAGTTCCGCAATGCTCTCTGGAGATTGGGCCCATTTCCTCCTCTGGGAACTTGCCATAACTATCTCTACCCCCTGGGGCTGCTCAAGGAACTGTCATCCTGTTCTTACAGGTAGGTGACAGTCCACAATCACCCCTCCTCCTTCAGTGGGAACAAGGCCAGAAGGAGGTTTGTTTTGCTTCTGTGTACTGTCTGTTCTGCTTTATTGAATATGTTTTGACACAGTGATAAGAAATGCCGTCTTTCGTTTAATTCAGTACAAGGCTGCAGCCCCAGAGCGGCTGGTGGACCCACCTGTTATTAAGGAGCAGTTCTGAGCAGCCCTGGACTGTGATTGTAGCATGTCTCTGGGTGCCTGTGCCTGCAGTTCCTTCTAAGCATCTCTCCACCTGGCTCTTCCCTCTTGCCAGTTTCAGCCCTTGGGCACTTACATTCTCCTATCCCTTCTGAACTCCCAATGCAGAGTTAACTTTTACAGGTACACTGACAAATGTACACTCAGTGCAAATGAAAATTTTGTCTATGCATGCTTTCAGGATCTAAGCCGATTCTCAGCCTAAGCAAATCCCACACAAAACAAAACACCAAACGCAGAGCCATGGGGTCAATTCCCACTCCCAGTGGCCACCCTATAGGGTGGAGTTCTGAGCCGCCCCGTGGGTAACTCGGTAGGGGAGTTGAAAGCCTCCTCCTTCTCCCACAGAACAGCTGGTGCTTTTGCACAGCTGACCTTGTGGTTACAGCCCAATGCAGGACCCACTACACCAGTGGTTCTCAACCTTCCTCATGCCGTGACCCTTTAATACAGTTCCTCATGTTGTGACCCCAACCATAAAATTATTTTCGTTGCTATTCATCACTGTTATTTTGCTGTTATGAATTTTGCTACTGTTATGAAAGGGTCATTTGGCCCCCAAAGGGGTCGCGACTCACAGGTTGAGAACCGCTGTACTATACCAACCTTTTGCTGTTTGGTCACAGCACCTGCAGCAGTGTGGGCGGGGAGGTGGTCACAGAGATTTTGACAATTCCCTTTTCTTTGTTCTGTGGTTTTCCAGAGGTTCGCTGGCACCTAGACCCAAGGGCATAGCCCAAGATCATTCTCAAGGTCTAATCTCCCCCTTTTTTTTAAGTCCCCCCGGTGCTATGAGAGGGATGGAAACACTCTTAAGAGGGAAGAGGAATCCTTGAAGTCTCACTGCAGTTACTGGACTGTCCTCTGCCCAGGAGTGTGTGTGTGTGGGGGGCTGTCTCACATGCTCGGCTGCTATTAGAAAGGCTGGAGGTTTGCTTTCTCCTAGAGGTACCTTGGAAGAAAGGCTTGGTGACCTGCTACAGAAATATCAGCCATGGTAAGGCCTGAGGAGCTCAGTTTTATCTGACTCATAGACTCTCCATGAGCCAGGGTCAACTCGTTGGCAACTGGCTTGATGCTTGTTTGTTTGTCATGAATATTGCTTTGTTGATTTTGAATTCACATGGGATTAATATGCACACTCAGGACTCTGTCCCGGAGTGGGGAGGGGTGGGGGCTGAAGGGGACTGCCAGCACCAGGAGTAACAGGGAATCTTAATAATGATAAATCTGACGATGCACGTGAAAATTAAACCTGATGACCACAGGGAGGCATTGAAAATTAAGAGAGTGATGCAGAAAGGGAGGAAGGCAGAGACCCTTCAGAGAAGTAAGGAGGGGAAAAAAGCCCACAGTTTTTTGTTTGCTTGCTTGTTTGAAACAACAGAGGAGAGACCATTCAGCAATGAGTCGGACGCACACAGCTTTTTGAGTTGGGGGCAGGTTAATTATATTCAAAAAAGACAAGTGTCTCCAGAAAAAAATCCTTTTTTTTTGTTCCTTCTAGCTCCTCCTTTGTTTTTCCAGGGAAAGATTTAGCTCCTTCATATAGAGACGGATTACACACTGTTAACAACCATGAAAAACAATACAAAATGCCCTCCATTGAACAAGTAGAAAAATAGAACTAGTATATATGGCAATTGTGAATCTAATACTGTACAGAAGGAATTTATGGATTTTACAAATAAATTATAGCTTCAATGCCCCTTTAAAACTCTCTCTTCTTCACCACCTCTCCACAGACACCCAAACTTACAAGAGGAAAGGTCCCCAGACTGGCAGACAGCCAGTTAGTGCCAGTCAAATGTTCTGCCCACCAGCTCGAAGAATTTCTGATTCGGCTCATGGAAATACTCCTGCAGTTTGTTGAGCAGTTTTGGGTCCACGTGCGGATGCGCCCGGCCTTTGGACTCGTGCAAGCAGCGGTCCCGGCCGCTGTCCCGCAGGCAGTAAAAGCCCTTGGTTTTGTTGAAGTAGAAGTTCGAGGCGTGGATCTGCGGGGCCAGTTTCAGGAACCTCTCCACCTTCTGGATCTCGGGGAAGGGGTCCCTGATGAGCTGGTCGCCATCGACGATGTGGATGTGACCCAGCGGGAAGAAGCGCAGCCAGTTCTGCAGGTGCACGTGGTAAAGGCTGCGGTTGAGAGCCTTGTAGTCCACGTTGAGGCGGCCGTCGCGCACCAGGACCTCTTCGATGGCCGGGTAGGGTTTGCGCTTCTGCAGGTGGTTGTACAACACTTGGGTGTAGTCGGACAGCACGCGCTCCGACGGGTCCCGCAGGATGAGCAGCAGCCGGATGCCGGGGTTCATGCTGTGGACCCGGGCAGGCACTTTGGGCGACGTGAAGTAGGCAGGGGTCTTCTCCACCGTCAGCTGGTGCGGCCACGACAGCGGCATCTGGCTCAGGTACCAGCCCAGCCCGTGGCTGTAATGCTCCTCCCAGTCGAAGAAGTGCACCTCGTTCTCAGCGGCTGCCACGTCGGGGTGCAGGCTGAGCATCTCCAGCAGCGCCCGCGTGCCCCCCTTGCGCACCCCGATAATGATGGTCTGCGGCAGCTGCCGCACCGAGCCATTGTGGGGCGCACCCTCAGGCACCAGGCCTTCCGACAACAGGGCCGCCATGCGCATCTGCTCCTGCAGGCCGGACTGCCTGGGAGCCTCGGGGCCAGCGGGGAGAGAAGGCACTACCTGCGGCTGGGACACCAACAGCACCGCGCCCAGGAGCAGCGCGGCCATGCTGGACACAGGAGGCTTCAGTGGGCCGGACGCCTCCGCTGTGTCATGAAGCGCTGTGGCGGGGAATGCCTCCTGCTGATCAGTGACACATGGATGTCGCTGGCCACCGGTTACTAGGGAAGAAGAGAGGAGAGTATTAACTGCAAATGCATAGAGCGCTTCTGAACTGCCCACCGTGTGGCGACCTGAGGCTATTCCCCTCTAGGCACCCCCAGCGGCCTCTTATCTTCCCAAAGCAGAGGGTGGCGCAAGTCACTGCAGTGGATCAGTGTATGTCTCCATGGTATCAACAACCCCAATGGTGCAATTGCAGCTCTGTTATGTTGTTGCTGCTGGCTGCCAGGCCAACCCTTGTTCCAAGGCAGAACTGCTCCATGGGGGATGACTGGCTGGGATCCCTAACATGATCCCTAAGGCAGCTCTTGCACCATAGCAGTGGGTGGCAACGAACCACCAACTTGTAGGTTAGCAGTCAGTGCAATCTCATTACCTCCAGGGGTCTACAGCTCTAATGTCAGGTGGTGTAATGATTATACATCGGGCTACCAAGTGTAACTCTAATAAAGGGTTACAGTCTCAGAGACCCCCGGGGGCAGCTCCAGCCGATCCTACAGGGTCACCATGCATCGACATGGACTCAATGGCAGTGAGTTTGGTTTGGGTTTGGAAGGTTCTGTGGACATGTGAGCAGGCGCCACCAGTCCCTGGAGAAATACATCAGACTTGGAAAATCGGAGGGGCAGGGAAAAAGAGGAAGACCCTGGATGAGCTCACTGCACTGAGTCCATTCCGAGTCACGGCGACATATAGCACAAGGCAGAACCATCCCTGTGGGTTGCCAAGGCTGTAAATCTTCACAGGAGAAGGCTGTTTCACCTCCATCCCGTGGCCCAGCTAGCGGGTCAGTACTGCTGACCTTGTGTTAGTGACCCAACACTGCATCACCACGGCTCCTTAAAGCTCGAAAACGATCACAAAAACAGAACAAAACAAAACAAACAATCAGAGTTGCCATCGTGGAGGTTGAGTCAGGGCCATCCCACGCATGTCAGGATTTAACTATGCACCATGAATATTCCAGTAGCTGATTTCTGAGGAATTCGATTGCCAGACCCGGTTTTCCAGGCACCACTGGGTCTACTCATACCTCCAACCTTTTTTGTAAGTGGCCGAGTAAGTTAACCACTCAAAGATGCCAAAGCAATCCCAGACACTACCTAAAACAAATGGCTGCGGGCTGTGTTCCCATCAAACCATAAGATTTCTACTTTTATGCACACATATGTTTGAGTTTCACATATGTTGTCATGTCCACATTCTTCTCCCTCTTCTGAGTTCTTACAACCCTATAAAGGTTTAGTGTCCTGGGCATACCAAATATCAGGCATGACTTAGCCCATAGGTCATAATTTGACCATCCCGATCCTTGCTTTATAAGGATGAGGTGGGAAGGTCCTTTGGACTTCAGCAGGTAGAGCTGGAAGTTCCGGTACCCCGCAGCCCTGGTAAGGGCAGGGAGACCAAAGCGGCCATTAGTTGTACTGTCCAGCAACGGATGCAGTAGGCAACATTGGTTGCACAAGATCTCTATAAAGGGTTGAAGAGCAAGGGTGCTACTGTGAGAATCAAGTGTACCATGGTATTTCCATTCCCCTCTTATGTGTGCCAGGGTTAGACATGAATAAGGAAGCACAGAGAAGAACTGATGCATCTGGATTTTCATCTTGGTGAAGAATATTAAAAGCACTTCCAGCAGATCAACTAAAGTTGTCTTGGAAGAAGTACTGCCAGAGGGCTCCTTGGAAGCAAGGATGGTGAAAGTCTCACGCATTTGGACAGGGGATCAAGAGAGACCAGTCCCTGGAGAAGAGAATGATGTTTGCTAAGGTAGAGGGTGAGCTAAAAAGAAGAAGAGCTTCGATACGATAGATGGACACAGTGGCTGTAACAATGGGATCGAACATAACAGTTGTGAGGGTTCTGTAAGACGGGGCAGTGTTTGTTCTGCTGTGCAGAGGCTTACTATGAGTCAAAATGGACTCAACACACCTAACAATGACAAAAAACAACCTTGACTCTGCCCTTCAGAGGTTCCTGGCCTCAGAGGACAGATGAACCTATGTGGAAGGTAAAATGATTAGGGCCATTCTTCACCCCTCTCTGAATCCATCACTTGGTATAGCCTCCTGGTGGGGGATTATGCCACCAACTGACTGGAGTTTTGCTTGGCCAATGACATATGGGCAGAAGTGACAATGTGCTGCCCCTACATCAGTCTGAATGGGCCATGCAGGTCTCCATTTCCCCCTTACATTTTTGTCAGCACCATGAAAGGTATCTAGCCCAGCAATCGGTTCCAGAGAATGAGAAGCAAGGGAACTGAAGCCATCCCACAGGTGACAGAGTGTGGCCCGGTCACCCCAGCCCATGAGTGAGACTACATGACACTGGTTTTAAGCCCCTAGGGCTTGGGGTAGTTTGCATTGAAGCAGTACTATAGTACCCGAGTCCTCAGAGTAGCATCCCTACTTTTTAACACTCTAAAGAAGTCTTGTGCAGCAGATTTGCCCAATGCAAGCATCCCTTTACCTCTTGACCGCTGCTTCCGTGAGCATGGGTTGTGGATCCAGGCAAGACAACTCCCATCTTTCCTTCATTCATTGGGGTCCGGTTGTGAGGAGTCTGGTTTTCTGTACATTCAGTTGTAATCCATTCTGGATCGGATGAGCTCAATTTAACGTGTCATTTATTTTAGTCAATGGACTGTTTCAGCGTGCTTTACTCAAACTACATTTCCTTCTCAGCTCTCTGTGAGGGTCAATCAAACGGATCAGTTGTGCTCCCTTTTTACAAGTTGTGTGTGTGTGTGTGTGTGTACAGCACACAACAGCACACTGCGTTCTGACCCCTTAATCCTCATCTTACAGTCCCCAGGCAAAGTCAGATCAGTCCACTCCTCGGGGACAGACACAGAGGCTGGCTCTAAGATTCATGTGGTCTGACTCCTTCCCGTTCTCAACACTGGGCCAGGAGGCATGCCTGCTCTCAAGCCCGCCCATCTGCAACCTCCTCTTAGAGAGAAATGTCTAGCAGAGAGCAGTGAGGATGGTAAGCACAGCCTGTCCGCTACAAAGAGACCTGGACACTTAGTAATCGAAAAGGTCCTCGTTTCTACGTGAATACGGTGTACATGTGCACGAGGGAGCTTCATATGGTTCTTGGGGAAACGCCATTTATCTTGTAATTCCACATGTTTCTGGAAATTCCCTTACATTGACCTATGTCTAGATGTTAGCCCATCCTCATTCCAAAAAGATTTGAGGGAAGTTAAAAATTTTAAAAAGTCATAGTTTCATATACTCACATCCTACATACGCACACACACACACACACACACTATATATATATATATACACACACATGTATCAATAATGTTTCACACATTTAAATGTACTATATTTACAAAGAAATAAAACTGACCCTCTGTGTTTAACTTCCTGCATACAATTCATCTTAAATTACACATTGACTTATAGAAGGAGAAAGCAGCCCTGGTGCCTCAGTGGATTGCACACTGGGTCATCAGTTCGAAACTGTCAGCCACTCAATGGAAGATAGATGCGGATATATATTTCTGTAAAGAGTGACAGTCTGGGAAGCCCATGGGGGTAGTTCCAGCCTGTCCTATAGGGCTGCTGTGAGCTTCAATCGACCAGGTGGCAGTGAGCTGAGTTGAACTGATCATATAATCCGCCATCCTCTCAGTTAAAAAAGCAAGAAGACGCAAAGGGAAGGCAAGACGGGAAGCAGCTCTGGGCCCATCCTTTAGTTCTCCTCATGCCTGTTT